TTTTGTTTTCTTTGCAGAAATAGACAATGTGGGGCAAGGTCACATCCAGCTGGCGCAAACCCTTCGGGAGGAGGCAAAGAAAATGGAGGAATTTAGGGAAAAGCAAAAACTGCATCGGAAAAAGGTCAGGGATCCCCTCTGTGCCCCTGATGTCTGCTGTTGCCTGAGCTCCTTCCTATGTGTTGTAACCGTGTTGGTGAACTATGCAGCAACCTCCCACTTCCTTCTCCTCACTGCCATGTCTGCTGCTCTGAGCACGTTTTGGGGCCAGTGATAGCAGGGGGCTCAGTTCCAGGGATGCCAGACTCAACCAGGGACGTTTTTAAAGCATATATATAGTGCTGTATGATCTCCATAGTGTCTGCTAAAATTGCCAAGCTCTTTAACTTCTTCTGACTTGAAATTCCTTTGTCTGGAAAATGAGAGAAAACTGCTAGAACCTGGGGGTAGTTTGGAACTAGCAGAGGGGTGTGGGCTTCCCTATTTTGCTAGACGCTATGGAGATGATACAGTATTACATATTGCTAGGATTTCATTTCACAGAATCACAGAATCACAGGATGTGAGGAGTTGGACAGGCCCTGGAAAGCTCCCCCAGTGCAACTCCTGCCAGAGCAGGATCACCAGAGCAGTCACACAGGAACACGGCCAGGGCTTTGGGGGTCTCCACACAAGGACACTCCACAACCTCTCTGGGCAGCCTGGGCCATGCTCCATAACCCTCACACTCACAAACTTTGTCCTCATCTTCAGCTTGAACCTCCTGTGCTCCAGCTTGGGACCATTGCCCCTTGTCCTGGCATTGGCCATCCCAGAGCAGAGCCTGGCTCCTTCCTCCTGACACTCGCCCTTTCCAAATTTATAAACATTAATGTTAATATAAACATTTGTAGAGGTCCTTTAGTTATACAAATGGAGGCTTAGATAGAAGCATAAAAAATAGATTTTGTGAAGATGCTTTGGGTGGATGAAGGTCCTTATGCCCATCTCGATCTGGTCCATGCCTCTTCCTTTCCTAAGTTACGTAGCACATCCTGGAGTTTCGGTGGTCAGTGAAGTGCTGACTCTGGGTCTGTTGTCTTCACAGATAGAGCTGATCATGGAGGCGATTCACAAGAACAGGAATTTGCAGTACAAGAAGACCATGGAGGTAAAGCCGCTGTTTCTTGCCATACGAGTTAATGCTGCTAAAACGCATGTCCAGCTTGCTGGGGCAGACTTAAATGCAAGGGTCTTCCTCCTCTCCGGCAACCCCCTACATATGTGGGGTCTGCTCAGAAAAACTGAGAAGTATGCCAGGGACACATGGATATAAATGATTTAGGTGTCATGAACTTGATTCTCATGAGCTTTTCATCCCAAATGAAAAGCAGCTTGTCTTGTGTGGCCTGTTTTGCCCAAGCAGTAGGGCAGCCTGTGCCTACCTCTTTTCTTGGAGGCTGTGCTTTCCTCCAAACCCTCATGCTTGAGCTGTATGTGGATCCTGTTGCTTGCTGACACACTCCTGCCCCGTTTGGTGACTTTCTCTACTAGGCCAAGCGTCTCTACGAGCAGCGCTGCAGGGATAAGGATGAGGCAGAGCAGGCCGTGCACCGCAACGCAAACCTGGTGACGCAGAAGCAACAAGAGAAGGTACGGACACAGGGGCGGCTATGGGGCAGGGAGAGAAAGGGATGTCTCCTATTGCAGCTCTCCTGCCCCACAGCTCTTCTCCCAGCTGTGGGCTTTGGGGTGAGAGGGGAGGGCTGGTGATGTTCCCTGGTTGGGCTGCAGTGCTGTTGGTGATGTGCCAGGGCTCTCCTCTACCTTTCTTCTCTCTCCCATTTTTGGCAGCTGTTCCTGAAGCTGGCCCAGACGAAATCGGCTCTGGAGGACTCTGGTGAGCATGGAAACGGCAGCATTTGGAGGGTGAGGGAAGCGTTTCCAGGGGCAGGGGCCTGTGACTCCTCAGAAACATGTGGCAAAGACACTGGAGGTGGGCTCCTGCCCTGGAGAGGCACGCGAGGCCCCACCAAAGCTGCTCCTGCAGCATCACCCTCCACCTTGCTGTGTGTCCACGTCCCCCTGCAGCACCCACCCACAACCAAGATCACACATTAACGCTGCTTTCTCGCTGACATCCCAGCCATTTTGGGCTCCACCTTCTAGCAAAGAGAGGTTTTTTTAATTAATGCTCATCAGATGATAATGTGATTCCCCTCGCAGACAGGAGTTACCAGCAGAACGTTAACACACTGGAGAAGATCCGGGAAGAATGGCAGAAAGAGCACATCAAAGCTTGTGAGGTAAATGCCCCAAAATGCCTTCAACATGATGCTCTGGATGTCCACCCCTCGCTGCAGGGGTCAGGGATGGTGCACACTTGCCTTCTCTGTATTCCCCTGGCCGTGAAGCAGTGGGGTGTGTTGCAACTCACCCTGTGTGTGTCTCACACTTGGTTTCTGGATTCAACATCACACTACTTCAATGTTTCCACTGGTTTTTTATTTATTTGTTTTTTCATCTACCACCGTTTAAAATCGACAGAGTCAGTGCACTAAGTAGTTATGTTTTTGCCCATTACCCGGCTGTACATTCAGTGTGGCCATCACATTGAACAGCCACAGTCATCTCTGCACCCCTGGCAACTTGAGGCCAGTATCTGCTATTAAAGCTGCAACACCACCCAGCAGACTCTTTCCAAAACTCTGAAAGACTTTAAATTACTTTAAATGACTTAAAAATTACTTTAAATGACTTTTCAGCAGTCAAAGTGGCAGGCTAGGGACGTTGGCTGGGTGTTCACATGCACTAGGAACCCTTCGCTATGTGTCTCATGGACCACGGGATAGCATGGGAACCCGTCTGAGCTGTTCATCAGCCTAAAGCAGGCTGTCTCATAGCAAAAGAGGTCTAGCAAGGATTTCTGGCACATGCTGAAGAAGTCCAGAGCTGGTGGTGAGAGGACCATGCAGCTGCTCTGCTGCTGACCTGTGTCTTGCAGCAGCTTGTGATCCCTGAGCAAGGGATGGACAGGGTCCACAGAGATCAAGGTTTCATCCCAGATCTTCCCATCCCTAGCTGTGCCAATTCCTTCCCACGCTATTTCTCTTAAGGCTTCTATTTTATTTTTTCCTTTTGAAGTGGAATTTGTTGTCTGTTTTGTGTGGTCTGCGCTGGTGTCTCTGCGCTGGTTTGCTTTTGGTGCTGGGGGTCTCTGGAAGCCTCTGTAATGGTGGGTTGTGGGAAGCAGTAATTTCACTTCCACAGATGGCTCATGTGGAGGTTTTCCACTTGGCCTGTTGCAAAGGTCACAACTGATAAGTGCAAAAATACACCTGGAATGAAAGGTTATCTTTCATGGAAACAGGTAAAGGTGTGTGAAACTGAGGTGCACCAGGCAGCAGATTTCAAAAGACTTATGTTTAAACTGGGTTGTAAAAGGCATGGGTGGGAAAGAGGGGGAAGACCAACCAGTCAATGCACCTTTGTTTTCATTCATCTCCAGTGCTTTTTTATGGCTCCATACGTGTGGGAGGGAAGTGAGCTGGGACCGCAGAACCATGGGGTGCCAAGGGAACATGCACTACCTTTAAGGAGCTGTCTTGGTCTCCCCAGAGGGAGCAGTGTGCCAGGTGACCCCTTCCACATCGGTCCTGCAAGATTAACACTCATCTTTGAAATACCTGGTCCACAGAGGGATGGTTTCTCCTCTGGACAAGCTAGAGGACTTATGGTTTCCATGTTTCCTACAGAAGACCACCACCACCTGCTCCTTGCTGAGGACACTCATCTTTGTAGTGGTACCTGGGGATGAGAAACGTTCAGGATAAAATAGATTTTCTCTTATTTTAAAGCCTTTTTGTCTATGTTGTTACAGTTCTTTGAGACTCAGGAGTGTGAGCGGATCAACTACTTCCGCAACGCCCTCTGGCTTCACGTCAACCAGCTCTCCCAGGACTGCGTCCAGAATGATGAGGTACGTCAGATGTATCATACCTTCTCTACATACCTTCATTTTTCTGTTTGGAAAGCTGAGCTCAGTTTGCTTTCCTGGGCACTGAGCTGTGTTATGCATGAGATGGGCTGTGGCCTTTCATCAGCTGCCAGACACCAGCATGAGTGTGCAGGCAGAAGGTTTTTGTCCAGAGCTCTTGCATGTGAGGCTTTCTCTGGGATTTTCACATTTTTTGAGGGTGGTGAGACCCTGGCACAGGTTGCCCAGAGAGGTGGTGGATGCCCCATCCCTGGAGGCATTCAAGGCCAGGTTGGACAGAGCTCTGAGCAACCTGGTCTAGTTGAAGATGTCCCTGCTCATGGCAGGGGTTGGACCAGATGAGCTCTAAAGGTCCCTCCCAACCCACACCATCCCATGATTCTGTGATTCCCCAACCTTGAAGCTTGTGCCCTGGGTGAGCACTGGGCTTTCACCCTATGTGTGATAGACAATTGGAAAATGCCCTGTTGTTTTTTTGACCTGATGTCTAGAGATGCTTTTTATTTCCTTTTTGCAGAAATACGAGGAAATCCGCAAGAGTTTAGAAATGTGCAGCATTGAGAAGGATATTGACTTTTTCGTAAATTTACGCAAAACTGGAAGTTTGGCCCCAGGTAAGAGCTCAGTCCAATCTCACAAAGTAGTGCTGACTTCCTTGTACTCCTCATGGAGCTGCTGCTCTGATCAGCATCAGTTTGGATGCCAGAAACATTGATTTTACAACATCCGTCCTTTCAGCACCAGTCTCTGCCACTTATCACCAGCCCCTGAAGAAAATCTCCCCTTTCTGTAGCCTTTAATTTCCTGATCAGGCATTTTCCCAGGGAGAGGAAAGCCTTAGCAGCTGAATGTTGATGTTGACAAGTAGTTTATGCTTATAAAATATCTGTACTTCACTACTGTTAACTTTTCCTAGCTCCTGTTCTTTATGAAAACTACTACAATGCACAGAGAAATCCAACTCCTGTGAGAAGTCCGGTTCCTGTGCCCATATCAAGGTAAGGGACATAATGTGCAATTGCAGTTGCTATTGCAAATGATGCTTTCCAAAATAAAATTAAAAAAAAAGCTTATTTTGTTGCTTTCAGTCTGTTGGAGGCTTTAATTGGGAGCATTAGAGGAAAATATTTCCCATGCTCTGTAGTCCATCGCTCTCCACAGCAGAGGCTAAGCCAATTTGCTGTCTATTCTAAGCTCTTCAAAGACACCCTCGAGCCCAGTCTTTTGTTCCCCATTTTGGGGTCATATCTCCCTTCTCATGGGTGGGAATCTTATTCTGAAAGTGCTTGTGGTGAGAATGTGCTCATTTTTCCTTGTGCCAAGCCTCTTTCAGAAGTCCGTTCTGTGGAGGTGAGTGGCTGTGGTGCTCAGACAGCAGAAAAACAAGGCAGTCTCATGGCTTGCCTCCTCTGGGAACAGTCTGAGCTCCCTTTCAGAGCAGCCTTTGGGACCAAGATGAAATCTTTTGGGCTTCCCTGCATGGTTCTCCATGTAATCTGTCTATCTGAGGAGAGATGGATCAGTTCATAGATGTGTGGATTGAGGAAGAAGCAGCAGAGCTGAATTCACTCCTCTGGGACAGAGGAGGACAGGGTGAAGGATGCTTCTGCCAGGGAGAAGATGAGGATTCAGGGCCAAAGACTCTTGCTAAAGATGAGTCTGCCACTTTGGCTGTTGGAGGAGGCCAATTATGGCTTCCTGATGTCTCACCCTGGGCAAAGGCATGTAAAAAGGCATGCCCTGAGGCCCATTGGTGAATGTTTCCCCAACTTAGTGCTCTTTGGTTACGTTTTTCCTCTCGCCCCATGTTTACCAAGCAGGCTGTTGGTGGTGAGCCCACCATGACAAGCCTTGGTACCAGGTCTCCACAAAGCCCACGTTGGCCAAACCATTTGCCTTCCCACCGGCTCTGGGAGGACAGTTTAGGAGCGCAGAGCCAGGGCAATGGCGCCATGCAGATCCTCAGCTTTGTGTTTCCTTCTTTGCAGGAGGGGACCTCTGCCCACTCCAACCACCACGCCAGGTGAGTCACTTGCTTTATGGGGCTTCTGGCCCCCCAGAGGATTTCTCTGCTCTTGCTCTTCCCCTTCATATTACGAACTTTAATGCAGTAAAAGGATTGCTTTAGGTGAAGCTCCTGCTTTGAGGGGTTGTTTGCTGACATTGGAGGCAAAGTTTCACCCAGCAGAAGCTCTGGTCAAAGCCCTGTGCTTAAGGATGTCTAAGCTTGGGATCCCACCAGTTTCTGCAGTTTGTGACCTTCTTTACATAAAGCTGTATCATTCCCAGTGCCACTTCAGTGATGGGACACTGCAGTGGGACTCAGTGAAATGAGGTCCTGCTTTGGCTCTTGGGCAAATCAAGTAATCCCTTTGAGTCATCTCCTATCCCTTTAACACGGGTGGCCAGTCCACGGTGAAGTCTCGTAATGAGAACTTCTCATGAGCAGACCTAATTTTTTTTGCGCTCTGTTTCAGATGAGCCTGATTACGCCACAGTTAACACCTACAGCTTGATACATCACTAATAGCCGCAGTAAGTACTCACATTTGATGAAGAAAGGATTTAATATGAGATGCAGCTACCCGGAGGAGGGCAGTGGAAAAAAGGGCATCAGTTAAGGGATGACATTTTGAAGTGACCGTGTCAGCCCTCCCATCGCTTGTCTGAGCTGGAGCTGTGGTTTATGCACTGTCAATCCTGTTCTGCAGGTTCTCCAGGCAGAAGACACCCTCGATCTGGCCAGGGTGGCAGAGGTGGTGTTTCCAGTTATTCCCAGCCACGCAGTGCTGAAGCGCTTCTCTGTTTTAAGAAAGTATTTGAGGACTCTGGTAATTATTTGTACATTCAGAAAGTGCCTCCTAGAAATCCGTGCCTTTGATCAGCAAACTCCTTCACACTCAAGGGAAGAAAAGGAATGTAAGCAATGGAACCGGACACAGGGAAATCTTCTGTGTCGGAAGAAGTTTTTGATTTGAAATTCTTCTAAAGTGCAGCCACCCGGGAGAGGCTGGAGCCTCCCACTCTCCAGATAACTAAGAAATCATATGTGCGAAGGAGAGTGTTCCGCGATGCTTTGGGCACACTGGTGTGTGTTCAGGGCATATGCATCCCTCTCAGATCTCAGGTCCCTGTTTCTAAAGTCCTTAATTAGTGGTGATTAAGCTTGTAATTTGGATTTAATTTGGTCATGTCTCTCAGGGAGCTTACTTAAAAGGAGCACCAATGGTTACACCATGGGTCTGGCTTAGCTGTACGTATGCTCCATGCTTAAGCAGTGATACTGGAAGCTGATTTGCATCTTGCCTGGTCCAGCAGTCCACAGCGCAGTTACCTAGCGTGAGGCTGTGCTACCACAAACCTGCTGGGAGTCCTGCACCCTACAGCATTGCTGAGGATCTGAAGGAAGCTGCTCAACTCTTCCAACCACTTCTCCAATGAGGGGCTTGTGGTTTTTTGGGGATATCTTTCTCATGGTATAGCTTGTCCCTGGTAGGCTCTGGACACCCCCATTTGGTTAACTTATGGGAACCCCTGAACTTGGACTTAATCTGGCTATGCACCACTGGAAACAAACTTAGCTACTAACACTGGTCTGGTGCCATGAAACTCATTTCCTGACCAGGTCTGCTCAAAGTTCATGCACTTCTTGTTACCACATACATGATTTTGGCTTGGATTCAGAAGCTCACATGCCTGAGGGCTGCTGAGCTCTCTGAAGTCCCTGTGTGTGGTGTTGCTTAACAGCTCCTCAGTGCCTTATGACACAGGCACAGGGACACGGAACACAGTTTAGCTGTCCAAACCCGTTCCTAGGTGACAAGCTTTGGAGCAACGGGAGTATGATGTTCTTCAAGTTGAATCTGCATTACTTCAGTGTGTGCCTAAGTCCATCAGTCCCCAGGGCTTTTACTGTATTTCCTTGTGCAGAGAAGATCACGGCGAGCTTTACCACCTGTAAAGTGCACATGTCAAAAAACCTGTTGTCTTATTTTATTTCTGAAAGACCAACTATACGAATATTCTTCTGAAGAAACCTGCTGTAGTCTTAGTTCTTTAAATACATATTTTAAAAATAACAGTTTTGAGACTTGTGTGCTGGATATGTTTGTTTGGTTGTGGTTTTTTTCAGTGCTGTCACATTCACTTTCTGTCAGGGCTGGGTCTGGTATACCCCAAAAACACCCGAGGATGGTGGTGTGAATTGGCTCTCCTGGAAGGAAGCCTAGAAAAACATACTGTTCCTCAGCTTTTATTTCAGTACTTGCTCAGTACTAAGGCAGTTGTGGGAGAGAGAACACACCAAGGAAAGCTGGCACAAGAACAAGTACACGTGATCAGTCATGAACTGCAAACCTTGTAGAGCTGTTTTCCCTCTGCTCTATAATACATTGCATGGTTTCATTATTTGGATTTTTCAGCTGACTGAGCACAATAGATGATATTAGGCATTTCTGGATGTGAAGGTCCCAAATGAAGCTGAAATTTTGCTTGCACATTCTCTGAATGCACAGAAGCAATCCCCAAAATAAGGGTGCTGGTTCTAAATACACTAACTGTTTGAACAGACCTAAAGCCAAGCAAACCCTGGCTTGGAAGAGGAGTGTGCAGACATGGAACTGGGGAGCAAATCTGTGTGCCCATAAGTGCTGAAGTATCTTTTTATTTTCAGCATCTTCCTTTCCCTGGTTGTCTTCCAAGTGATGCAGAAGACTTTGCCTTCCTCGTAGGCCACTGTGAAGGAGCCCATCCACCTCCTGGGCTCCTATAATGAGGCCAGGCTTCCTCACAGACACCTATAGTGGGGTCTGATCTCATCCCAGACCCTATAGAAGTGCCTGGCATCCCTACAGATCTTGATAATGAGCTGCGCAGCTCCTTCCTTCCCTCCCAAGGGTGCCCCCAGGGAGACAGAGAGAACAAAGGCCTTAATAATGCAACTGCTTTAATAAGACAGAGTAAGAAGATGAATGCAGATAGTGAGTAAATCTTACATCCCTTCAGATGCTGGGCACCCTGCCTTTGGGCAGTCAGACGGAGATCTCTCTTTTTGGTCCTGTGAGCCAATACATAAATTAAACCACGAAAACAGCTCTATTCTATTTCCCCGGTGCTCGGTTTTGGGGCCAGTTCTGTTTAATATACTTTATCAATGATCTGGATGAGGGGATTTTGTGCTCCCTCAGACAGTTTGCAGATGACACTGAGCTGGAAGGGAGTGTTGATCTACCTGAGGGTAGGAAGGCTCTGCAGAGGGACCTGGATAGGCTGAATCCATGGGCTGAGGCCAATTGTATGAGCTTCAACAAGGCCAAGTGCCGAGACCTGCACTTGGGTCACAACAACCCCATGCAGGTGTGGGGAAGAGTGGCTGGAAAAGCTGCCAGGCAGAAAAGGGCCTGGGGATGTTGGTTGACAGTGACTGAACATGAGCCAGCATAGTGTCCAGATGGCCAAGAAAGCCAACAGCATCCTGGCCTGCATCAGGAATAGTGTGGCCAGCAGGAGCAGGGCAGTGATTGTGCCCCTGTACTGGGCACTGGTGAGGCTGCACCTCAAATCCTCACTCCCAGAAGGACATTGAGGGGCTGGAGCATGTCCAGAGAAGAGCAATGAAGCTGGGGAGGGGTCTGGAGCACAAGAATTATGGGGAGCGGCTGAGGGAGCTGTGGGTGCTCAGCCTGGAGAAGAGGAGGGGAGGGGAGACCTTATCGCCCTCTACAACTCCCTGAGAGGAGGGAGCAGC